CAGTGCTCATAAACGGCTGCTGAGGTAGTATTCTCAAGTGAAGCAAGTAGAGGCTTGACCCGGAAACAGCGCTTTTTACGTCACCACTTAACAACCGAATAGAGACAGAGCGCAACGTGTCATAATCTGAAGACCACGCCCACCGGGGCTGGAACCAATCCAACGCTCTCCATTGACTTTGTATTGCGGGAAGCTGCCTCCTTGTCATTTCTGACTTATAATCAGGGTGCGAACTACGGGGGAGCTAGGGGGAGCTCGGCTCCCCTTAATAAGACATGGGCTCCCCTGAAAACATGATTTGTGAAATTTTGGGGGGTCTCAAAAAATATTAACAATGTGTTATTTTGACGTGCAATTTCAGTTTTGTGTAATGTGATCATCGTGGATTATTGTGTGTTAAATTGCAAAAATATCATTCATTCATGCATGACGGCGATTTAAACCTAAATCACTTCAATAAAGATAACTATACATACTGTTCTTGTCATGAGCATCAAGGTTTGTGGGGGCACTGCAGTGCAAACTCTACTCATGTTTAGTACATGTTAACTCAAAGATTCGTAGAAAAAATATAAACGTTGGACTCAGTGGTCGATTCTGTGTTAAGGTAAGGCATGTTATTCGCAGTTATGTGTTGTGGCTGGGGTGGTATAGGTCTGCGTGACTCTCGATGTCTTAGGCCTAACTGAACGGAGGAATTATGGTATTCTTCTGTAGCCTGACGACGAGTTACTTTAACCGTTGTTCATGTGAACTCAGACACCCTGATGCTTTGTTTATAGACTATTTGTGGGTGGCTGTTTGTTGTTTCACCTATCAATGCGTGTCGATAAAGTATAATAGGGTAAATCCTGTATAGTGATTAATCCTATATAGTGCTTGCATAAAGCTTGTAAACACTTGTAGCTGTTATGCATGTTTGTAAGTCATTGTAAGCCTTCATTCACGCGCAAGCGCACGAACCACATCCACATATATCTCCTCCCCTCAAATTCACATAGGGTGGTGAAATAATCCTTTGACATGGTTAAAAATAATGAATGGTCTTGTCGCTGATTACGTTTCCCTCCAGTGGACGCAGTTCTCAGAGTAAAAGGACACGTTGCGCTCGTTTTTTTTGGGTCAACAGCTTACAAAAACGTAGTTCTGTTTTTTTTTAGCTTGTTTGCTGTACACCTGGTCACATAGCAGCTTTTAGGCATTGCTCTGTTTTTTGTTATAAGTCAGAAATGACAAGGAGGCAGCTTCCCGCAATAGAAAGTCAATGGAGAGTGTTGGATTGTTTTTTCCCCGGTGTGGGCGTGGCCTAAATGCGCTCTGTCTCTATAGGTGTCGCTGTGCGTCTATACTGAGCGTCAAGCAAAAGAATCGGCCATTACAGATACTCTCTGCGCTGGTTTACTTTAACAATAATGGACAATAAAGAACGTTAATTCAAAATACATATGTAATCAAGAAAAATCATCGGTGCATGGTATAAAGTCTCTCTGTTGATCTTCAGTCGGTTTTTCATTAAGGAATTCTCTCCGGCAGTCTGTCGTCCGACACACCCAGAAACGGAGCGTAGCAGATTATTACAAATAATATCCACTGATCATCTACGGAAGCTCAGAGATTCAGTTTACAGCATTATGAAGGACATTTTATTGTTATTTTCGCTATTCTTTTTGTTGGGCGGTAAGGTTCATTTTTATTTCTTATACACTTTCGGTTTCACTTTGTAAATCCGGATATTCTTGTTTGCTGTTATGTGTTAGCCTAATTCTCACATTCTCCCAGTTTCTAACCTACATTGATCACTTTTATCAAAATGTAGGACAAAGAATAATGCTTATGTTTTCTATATGTTATATACAAACCATAGGCCTATTTTATTGTTAGACACGAGCAGTTTCTAGTTACAGGCCTTGATATATTTACATTTTTAATGACGGTGAGTCTGTTTTGTTAAGATGTATTCACATGTTAGTTCTTTGTGTTAATTAATTATTGTTTTTGAGGCTGAACTATTCATATTATCTTACAGGTAATTGTGGAGTTTCTTTATGTTATAAATTGTATAATGCAGATTATGATAGGCTAGTTGGTCCCTAACGTTAGCGTATTAACATTACGGCATACGCACAGAAGTCACCATCACATGCCTCTGTGTTTAGAGTCACGTCCATGGGCGTGTGGGGGACGACTGAAAGATTTTACTAAATGTTTTTTTTTTTTTTTTTTTTACAAATATCAGGGGCGGACTTCTAATTTAATAATTGTGTTTTTTGTTGTTGTTGTTTTTATGCCTAATCCTTATTTTGCTTACTTGCGCTCATAGTTTATAGTTTATTTATCCCTTCACAACCAGAAAATTATTATTAGACCCGATGATGTTCTAAAGCTATATTAGGCTACCTTATTTTTTTCGGATTACAAAAGACATTATAAAAAAAAAAAGAAGACATTATAAAAAAAAAAGAAAGAAAGAAAAGATAAAAGAAAAAAAAAAGAAAAAAGCTTGTACTTGTCCATTAAATAAATTGTAACCTTCTTCAATCTTTTTACAAAAAAAAAAACTATCCCATGCAATTCTTTCCATATTCCATGTGTTCTGAAGGCATAAGGTAGGGTTTGCTGAGAAACAAATTGAAAATGTAATCTATTAAAGGGGTCATGACATGGATTTTATTATTATTTTAATATGTTCCTTGAGGTTTACTTTTAATGTTAATAAAGTTTTTGCACAAAAAAATAAATATGGAAAAATGATTTTCAACCCTCATTCTGAAGCTCCAACAGCTTGTTTTTAAGGGGCGTGTCCTTTAAGGCTTGTCAGGAATCAGCCACTGTTATGATTGGCTAACGTCATTGCATAGGAAACATTATCAACACCTCACTATTGCATGTGAGTGTTTTGACAACATGATTAAAATCGTCATTTCCAGACAAAGCATTATGAAATTATTTGCTTATGGTTTGTGATGCAGCTGCAGTCAGATCTAATACCGCTTCATCTTTCAACAAATGTTTCTTTGTGAAATCTCCATGACACTGTGCCTCAATTACAAAACAACATGCTCCGAACATTTATCTGACACAATCCGGGATGCCATTAAAAATAAACTATCCACTTGTTCTTTATGTCATTTTGAAACATCAAGACAAAATTATGACTTGAAACAATACTTTATTTACTGAGGTGAAAATCTTTGTTCCAAGACAGTCAGACAATATTATACAGCCTAGAATACATGCAAAGAGTGCTCCCTCGATAATCACTAAAAGCTGTCATTCAGTTCAGTTCATTGTGATCGTGAACTGAAGCCATCTACACTGCACAATGAATCTGTTATTTACATCATATCTACACTTTTATGATAAGAGGATTCACGAGCTTGCAGAACTATGCAGTTGACAAAATCCTGGCGTTTTGAGCCTCTTTCCATAAGGAAACAGAACTGTGTCAGTTAACAAGCAACATCAAAATAACAATATATATAAAATTATGAAAAGAAAATAATATAGTTGTGGCTGCAGTTAAATGAAAACTCATCACATAGTTCACAAACTCACTCAAACACAGGAAAAATAAACATATCATAAATAAAGATAAATATTAGATGTATACAGAATACAAAGAATAAAACCCCAAAATACTCGGATAAAGCTCAACACAATACAACATATAAAAATATATGCTCTGCCCACATGGAATTTACAAAACACAATAATATTACAAATCAGAAACCATCCATCAAAAATAATCAAACATTAATAAACATCTTAACAACAATATATTTCTTTAACTGGCATGGATGGTCAATATAACTAAATATACTCCCCCCTAAGGCTGGGAGAACATATTACATCTTCCCTACATCAATGTATCTCTGAGGGAATTCACTGTCTTCAGAAAGGTTTAGATGGTATTTTATTTTCAAATGACTGAAAATCCCTGTTTACTTCATGGCAGTTTTTTTTATTGTTATTTATTTAAATTTATTAAATGTATTTTTATTTACTGAAATGTATTTACAGATTTACTGAATTTTACTTAATTTTAATGTAGATTGTTTAATATAGATGCAGAAGTCACAGAGAGATTTATCAGACTAAATTATATGAACCTGTATACTGGCAGTGTTTTATTTATTATTTATTTGTGTGTAACTGTTCCTCTGTTCACCAGGTGTGTTTGGTGAGTCAGTGTCAGTGAAAGAGGGAGATTCTGTCACTCTACACACTGGTCTTACTGAAATAAAGGAAGATGATGTGATACACTGGAGGTTTGGAGACACTCTCATAACTGAATTTGATAGAGAATCGAATAGTACCACTACACATGTGGATGCTGTTAATGGGATATTCAAAAACACACTGAATCTGCACCTTCAAACTGGAGATCTCACCATCAAAAATGCCAGAACTGAACTCTCTGGACTTTATAAAGTAACCAACATCTTAAACACCTTAGACAAGAACTTTAATGTCAGTGGTGAGTACCTAATGTATTTCAAATGTTATAATTTGCATAATTTTTCACAGAGTGCTAAATAACGTCAAATTCTCTGAAATGTGATTGTTAAAAATGCAAAGTGTACAATGTGTCCATGTATCTACATGAAACTATCAATTTGTAAAGCAGATTTCCAGTCAGTCAAATTACCTGAATGTCCTCTAATAAAACTGCATCTATGGGGAAAGAAAAGAGAAAAGGAAATAATTTTTAGTTCCATTTCCCAATCGCTGTATTTAAAATATTGTCTGGCCAACCTTTCCCAAAAAATTAGATCTCCAAGACTTTGCAAAACAGAAGCCACATGCTTACTGACTGGACACTATATAGACGAATATAGGCATCAGGACCAAACCACTGGATAAAATAAATCCAGACTGAAGTGGTGGAATTCTGACATCACACTACAGTGATAAACCAACACAAATCATGGGTTTGAGAACCCTGTTACTGTCACTGCTGCTTTTGTGATTTATTATATTAAGAGCCTAGAGAAACCCTACACCAAACCCTTACACTTGAAAATGAACACTGGTTTTACAGCAGTAACCGTAGTTTAAATATGTAGTAAAACTATGGTGGGACAGATTCCAACTTGGATTGCTTCTGCAATAAAAGGGTTTACGTTCTGTCATTATTCTCCACACCGAAACAAAAGTGATGAACCTTGACATTTCGGTTGTTCTTTAGACTATCACGGTGAAAATAGCCATTGCAAATAGTCACTACGAATAAAATAAATCACCATTTAATTGATAGGTGTGATTGTTTTTATGTTTGTGATGTTATTAATTTATTTCTTTATTAGCATTTACATCTGTTTATTTAGGAGATAAATAAACAGATGTTTGCTACTGCCAATGCATACAGTGCTGTGAGTATTTAAGACATACTGCTGCTGCACAAATAGCATATAAAATAGCGCCCCAACAAAACTGGAAGAAGAAGATAAACAAAACAACTAAAATATGTATGCTGCTGCTATACAATAATATGCTTGAATCATCCCTATAAGGCAGAAGAAAGATGAAAAGATAAATCCCCCAGAACAAGCAGATCTATTGCCAAGACATATGTACTGCTGCTGCTCCGGAGAGCCGTGAGACCGTGTGTTTGCTATCTACAGTATGTGAGCCTGGGCCGGCTTGGCCGAATGGCTTAACGCTAGTGCTGTGTGTACCTGATCGATTGACCAGATAGCTTAAAGTGACCTGAGTTAAATGTGTTTCTGGGCTAATGGAGCCCAGATAAATTAACGAGTGGCTTAGCAATGTGAACATGGGTGCTGTACCCTTAGGTTTATCTAGGTAGAAATGCACACTATGTGTGTCATTAACAAACTGGAATCACTTTGTAGGCTGATAGATGACGTAACCCCCAGCAACCACCTGACTCAGGCTCAGGTGGCCGGAGCAAATAGTTTTCAGTTTTTTTTTTTGCAATATTTATAATAAAAATCTATGTCTACTATTTATTAAATCATATATTCTAATCTGTACTCTTCATGACAATGTTTTAAACTTTGTATTAGTAGCACTTCTTACATTACTGTTTTAGGATTAATTGCTTTGTTTTTCTCATTTGTAAGTTGGACAAAAGCATTTAAATGTTTATGAATAAATGTAAATGTAGATGTGCTTTCACTGAACTCAGATGTCAAGTCACATGTAACTCACTTAAAACATGTTCTTTTCTAGATGTTGTTTGTTGTTACTTTATCCAGAAAATCTACTTCCAAACTTGAAATTTGTGTTTTGGAACAATAAAGATAGTTACACTACAAGTTTTACTAACCATTTCTGTTTCTTCTTCAGTTGAGTCATATGAAGTGGATAAAAGACAGTCAGTGTCAGTGCTGGTGGGAGATTCTGTCACTCTACACACTGATGTTCCTGACATAAAGAGATATGATGTGATACGGTGGAGGTTTGAACATCAAAACTCTCCTGTAGCTGAAATCAATAGAAAGTCTGAAATCCTCAGCACATCTGATGGCGCTGATGGGAGATTCAGAGACAGACTACAGCTGGAATATTTGACTGGATCTCTGACCATCAGGAACATTGGAACCAGACACTCTGGACTTTATGAAGTTGACATCAGTACCAGCAGCAGATACACCCTACACAAGACATTCAGTGTGACTGTCAGCGGTGAGTAGCTCATTGTAATATATCACTGAATTAAATGTTTAATTCTTAAGAAATAGTATGATTGTGGCACTGTTAGTTTATTAACAGTTTACGCAAACTCTTGAAAAGTGAAGTTTTTAATAATTCGGTTTAGTTCATCAGTTCCCAAACACCTGTAAAAGTGCATATGAAGAGTTCAGATGCAAAAGCCTCTAAGTGCCGTCTGAAATTTTCTTCTAAAATTTGCATTTTTATCAGGCTCCTATGTTTAGGTTCAGTAATTTTACTCTAATGGCAATGTATAGGTCCTTTTCTATGCCATTAAAGTGAAATAACTGAACATAAATATTGGAGCCTGATAAAAATGCAAATTTTAGAAGAAAATTTCAGACGGCACTTAGAGGCTTTTGCATTCTGAACTCTTCATATGCAGTCAAAAGTGTGTCCTCATTTGTAAGTCATGGATAAAAGCGGTATGAGCAGATTTGTTCTTGGGAAATAAAATACTCACTTTTTACTTTGCATTTTGTGCAGAAATCAAACAGATTCAAATGCCCTTTGCAGACAATTTTATCTCTCTCTTGCTTTGTGCTAGTCTTTCTCTATTCTTCCAAATTGTGTCTGTTCATTATTCACTGTTGTGTTCACCTGCACTGTCATTTGATCTGATGGACATTTCTTTTCTTCCCTTTATTTTTTTATTCTCAGGAAATGTGCCTTTATGAACAGTAAAAAGTGTTGCTGTAAAAATTCAACTGTTGACTGTTAAATGAGATTTATTAGACAAGGAAACTTAGTGGGATTTGTTAACTGAATAAAATGTTAACCATCTTTCTGTATGCATTTAATCATGTCTGTGTAGCTGTTTCTCACTGTTCTTCATGTGTTTGTTGTTGTGACAGATGGAATCAGGAAATTGTCAGTGATGAAGGGAGATTCAGTCACTCTGCAGACTGATACTAAAATAGAGATCTATGATTCCACGCTGTGGATCTTTACAGACATTTTCATAGCTGAAATCTATAAAGCAACTCAACGATTCTCCACATCTGATGGTCCTGATGGGAGATTCAAAGACAGACTGAAGCTGGATCATCAGACTGGATCTCTGACCATCATGAACATCACAACCATAGACTCTGGACTTTATGATCTGAAGATCAGCAGCAGCAGACACACCATACACAAGAGAATAATTGTTACTGTCAGTGAGTAGATCAATCAGCTTATCAATTTAATAATTATATTATTTGCATAAGAACTCAGAGTAAACTTAAGGTTGTAGGTCAAAAAGAGAGTCACAAATTTAAACAGTTTCCCCCCCCTCTGCAGTCTATATTTGGAGAGGGAAAGCAACCAATAATAATGAAATAAAGACGTAAAACTAATTGGTTGTGGATAAACTCTTTCCCAGCTCTACAGTATAAAAGTTCCGATAAATTATTTTATTTAAATAAGGAATCAGTAAAACTTTGTTAGGTAGCCAAACAACAACCAAAATTCTATACTAACTTCTATCAGAGGTGATACAAAGTTTTCTAAAGAAAATACAAATAAACAACTCTTCCCTCCTTCCCTGACTATTATGAACAAGAGAAAGAAAAATAGACAATTCAACAAAAAAGGTCACCTACCTCCTTTCAGCTTAATACAGCGTTTCCCAATCCCAGTCCTCGCATTATATTCATATAAATAGTCTATGTGGAAATAAAAAATGTTTTCTTCACCGTTATTTCTAAGCCTTAACTGGCGCAAAACAGTGTAACCATAGATCACATCAGGTCATCTGTAATGTATCTGCATGTTTTACACTCTTTGGCCACCAGGTGGTATTGTGAGCAAATGAAGCCTCGAGAAATGAACCTTTTTGTGAACCACTTGGATGTAAAGCTACAATGCTTTATAAGGCTTCATCTCACCATCACTAGAAAAATATAACACTACTAATATGACTAGTTGACTGACAAGGAATTAACGTACACTCAAGGAACTAACACAACAAACCAGCAGAGACATGAGGAAAAGGGGCACATTATAAGGAGCAGAGCACATGAGGATCAGGTGGACACAATCAAGTGAAGGAGGACTAAACTAGGACTAAACAAGTGGGTGTGGTAAAGGGAAACGAGGCAGGGCAAGTGGAGCACATGGCCAACAAAAACAAAGCCATGTGCTCAGACACAAGACAAACAAAGACACTTAAACAAAGACAGAACAGACATGACTGTCAGGGCAGGACCCTGACACATGACCATATGACAGCTTAAAATGTTTTCTGATTAATTATATATATATAATATATATATATATATATAAACAAGACAAACTAAAATATTTTGTCAAAAATGCAATTAAGTTTTTCAAATTAAATGGTTTTTAATCATTAAAACAAACTAATTTTGGATTTTAACAATGAACACATCATAAAAGACAGCTATACTACATAGTTCAAAACAATGTGTGGGCAAATAGATGAAGAAACAAATTCAGACATTCAGAAAAACAGATATTAACACTCCCCTCCCTACACACACAGCTCTCACAGAACAGGAGACGAATACAAGAGCCAAAATGCTTTACATTTATTAAAATAATAATTTATGAACATAGAACACTGACTCTCAGTCTTTATTCACCTGTTTCTCTTGATTTCTAAATACATTTTATAAGTGTTGTTGCTGTGACTTGTATTGCTAATGCATTTTATTTTTTTTGGGTTTATTTTTGGCATTTTTTGTCTTTATTAGGATAGGACAGTGTGTAGACAGGAAGCGAAGTAGGAAAGAGAGATGGGGGATGCGAGGCATATTTTAACACAGTGTTAAAATGTGCCCCTTCTGCGCAACTGGGATTTAAACCTGGCTAGTGTTATCTGCTAGTTAGGTGAGCATTAAGGAACTATCTTAAACTCCTAAATAAAAAATAATGGCATAATTTGTCACATTTAAAATAAACACCAAAAACTGAGATGAAATATTAACTTCAGTCAGAAAGTTACTTTTACCATGGTTAAATGTATGTGATGTTTAAAAGGGAGCTGATGCAGTTTTGACAGAAGTGGGCTAATACGGTCACACTTCCTGGTTCTAGTAAGAACTTGAGCTGCTGGAGTTTGTTTATTAAACCTGCAGGGCAAAAACCCAGCAAAGCATTACAATAATCTAGCCTTGAGCTTATGAATGCAGGAATGATTTTTTTCTGCATTTGATATTGACAGTATATGTCGTAATTAATTTAGAGATGTGTTTAAGATGGGAAAATGTGGGCACCACTTAGACAGGGACAAACAGGAATAAAGTGTTAAAAATCTTTCTGTATTTAATTAATGTCTGAGTAGCTGTTCCTCACTGTTTATTGTGTTTGTTGTGACAGATGAAATGAAGTCATTGTCAGTGATGGAGGGAGATTCTGTCACTCTACTCACTGAGACTGAAATACAGAGAGATGATCTGATAATGTGGAAGTCTGGAGACACTCAGATAGCTGAAATGTATGTAACAGACCAACGATTCTCCACATCTGATGGTCCTGATGGGAGATTCAGAGGCAGACTGAAGCTGGATCATCAGACTGGATCTCTGAACATCACAAACACCAGAACCACAGACTCTGGACTTTATGAACTGAAGATCAACAGCAGCAGGCACACAGTACACAAGAGAATCACTGTTACTGTCACTGGTGAGTAGCTCAAATCAGTTCATCAATTTAATAATGATATTATTTAAATAAGACCTCTATAAGCAACCTTAAGGTTAAATGAACAGTAGTTGGCACAAATTTAAGTAGTTAAAAAAAAATAAACTTGGATGTTAAACTGTTTTTAGCATGTTATAGTTTGTTAGTCTATCAAAGAATTTGGTACAAAATTCTGCATGATATGTGTTAAATAAATAAATAATAATAATAAAATCAAGTTAATATCAACATATGATTCTTGAGGCAAACAGTTCATATTATTTAATGGCATTAAAATGACCAAACCAATATTGTGTGTATTTGCATGTATTTCTCTTATTTTTATACCATTATTTATAAAATCTGATGTGGGGAGTAAGTAAAGTGCATGGCGGTAGCTTTTGGGGCAGTCGACCCGAGTTCAATTTTGCCTTTTTCCAAACCCAGCGACAGACAGAATTAAGAGTTCTCAGATGGCATGCCACATGCTCCATTCATTAATGAGTGAGAAATGCATACCTGACAGCGTGCTTTTTTATTGCATGCTCTGTTCTTGTGAAAATTCTGTTGTTGTGTTCAGTAATTTCAGGAAATTCAGCCTTACATGCATTACTGCTTACAACGTTCTAATTGAAATCAGTCTTGATTCACATTAATCACCTGCTGTAACACACAGAAGATGAACACAGTGAATGAGAAAATCTGTTTTTCTCATTACAGTACCAGATCTGTCTACAGGTGCTATAGCAGGGATTGTTCTGCTGGTGGCTGCTGTAGTTGCGGCTGCGTTTGGTATGATTTACTATCGCCGCAAGATTTCTACTCTAGAAAGAAAGAAGAGTGAGTATTGCAGCTGATATAGTACAAGAGAAATAATGCACATTATTGATGCTTCAGTAGAGTTTAAATGTAAAAAAAAAAAATCTGTTTCTTTATAATCAAGTTTCGAACCTTGTGCATTAGAAAGAAACCGCTTTAATAATAATGGAGGAGTATCTGTGTCTTTTATGGTTTTAAACCTTTTATTGTAAAATTTTAGAATGTAAAAGCAACTTTAGTAATGTTGATTGATCTGCCATGAAGTATCAGATAGTATTTTAGTTTATATTCTTTTGTGGTGTGAGAGTGAACGTGGTTCAGTGTAGAGGGTTTGATGATCAATCACAGAGCAGATATGGAGCAAATGATCAGTGCAAATTTTGTTCCCTTCTGCTGTTGTTAGCTTTCTTCTTCTTGATCCAGGGTTGTGAACTTCGAGTTGCTTGACTTTGATTTGACTTGGATTCGAGTCCCAAACTAAATAACTTTTGACTCAACTTGACATAATCAAAGACAACTTGCGACTGGCCTACCTTCTAAAACCAAAGATCAGGGTTGTGATCAATGAAGGCTGGTCTCTCGAGCGTATGATCACACGATCATAGATAATTAGGGGTCAGAGACAAACATGCGCTTAGTGAGCACTTTTCATTTATCACAACTGTTCAGTGTTTTTAACCATATGGCGTTTAATTTATGTTTTAGACATTTAAATACACATAAGAACTAACAAATATGTCATAGGTTATAGGTTATAATTTTGAAAGACAAAACTGAAAATACATTTACTTACATATATTTGAGGATCTGAATAGCAGATATGTTACTACTTAGTGTTCTAATTTTTCTAATTCAAAACAAGCATGATAAGAAAACTGATATGTCAGTCATACAGCACCATGACTGCAAAGTGTTATGTGAAGCTTGAGACATCGCCATGGAAATAAGAATGTAAGGCACTCTAAAAAATAATGGTCACATAAAAAAATTTAATTCTTTGCCCAATTAATGTTTTGTATTATCAATTTAGTACTGAAATGTAAAAAGTAGCATAAATGTTTTGTAAATACAATAAATAACTGACAATCATGTCAATAATAATTTCCGATTACCTGCATCATTAGCTTGCAATAATTGGCCATGTCTTTTTTATGTGTTATATTCATTAATTGTTGACCCAAATGATTAGTTAAAAACACTGAATCATTTACAAATGAAACGGTGAACATGAACAAAATGGTTCGTTCCCTTATTGACCTATGATTCATTCATAAACCGAATCATTCCTCAACGTTACACCACTATTTGTATCCAGGGGTGGACATAAGTGGTACACAGGTGCGCATGCCTGACCAAAAGAAAAAATGCGCTGTGTAAATAAGTTCAGACCGTATAACTATACTGTATAAGATTTCTTTTTAAACTGTAAGCATAAATCTAGGCTACCCGCTGCCATTTTCAAAGCACAATACAAAACTGTAACATTTCATTGACTGACGCTCTTCAATCGGCAGCGCAAAACCCGGAAGTGCATATACTCACTTGCTGGCAACCCGCCAAAATAAAAACTGCCTGATTTTAAGTTTGAAAATGATAAAAGTAAGTTTACTATAAAATAATTTAATTTGTATTAAATACTCTCTTTTTATTTTAAAATATAATAGCATTATCATACTTTATTATTTTGTTTATTATTTTATTTAAAAAATCATCAATAAAGTGCAATAATGTTTGTAACGTGGAGAGCGTGACAACGGGGTTGGAGGATCCAAATGCAAGGCTTTATTTCTACACGTGGTCAAAACAGGCAGGGTCAAACACCAGCAAACAGTACAATCCAGGCAGAGGCAAAAGATTATTCCAATAAACAGGTGATGGTCAGGGCAGCAGGTAATCAATCAAGAAACTAGGAAACAGTCCAAGGTAAAAACACAGGGAAACTAGGTAACACGGAAAGGAAAACACGGGAACTAGGAACATGGAAATGGCTATACAATAGGGGTGGAATGGTACACAGATGTCCCGGTTCGGTATGTACCTCGGTTCGGGGGTCACAATTCGATACGATTTCGGTACAACGGGGGAAAAAAACAAATCTACTATGCTCGGTTTCTTTTAACAGAAAGTAGTACAAACCTAATTTCCACCTAGATGTGAAAATACTAAATATTATTACATTGTTATAATGCATAATGCATATAAATGCATAATCTGCAGTATATATATATATATATATACATACAATAAATCAATTCTTGAAATATATTTGATTTAGTTTACAGATAAACAAGGGAAAAAACTGTGCGACACGTAACGTAGCCTATATATGCAGAGTTTCAGTTCATTTTTGTGCCAGGCTTAATTTGTTCACAGAAAGGAAACTCAAATGGCAGAAAGCGACATCCTATTTGTTTTCTTTATTTTAAAAAAGCACAATGTTTTGTTTGCATTGTGAGTGTACACAAATAAAAGCAGACCTTTATACAGTGATGCATTATTAATAAGACAATAAGTGTTTAAAGTTGATTCTGCTGGTATAAGGAAACAGTTGAAGTGATCGCGCCGGCATGCACACACACACACACACACACACATCAGTTCCAGCATTGCTACTTGACAGTGCAGTTGGTATTTTATCAAAATAAAATACAGTGAACCATTCGAATGCAACTGAAACACAACGCCTATAATTTACATAATAAATAATAGTTTAGCATTCAGATACGTTACAAGACAGTTGAAGTGATCGCGCCGGCATGCACACACACACACACACACACATCAGTTCCAGCATTGCTACTTGACAGTGCAGTTGGTATTTTATCAAAATAAAATACAGTGAACCATTCGAATGCAACTGAAACACAACGCCTATAATTTACATAATAAATAATAGTTTAGCATTCAGATACGTTACATCGCAAATATGGAAATATTATGGAATATTTGGATTTGTGCTGAATGAGAGAGGTAGGAGACACGAGCACAAAGCTCCATTTCGCAAACAGTTGAGTGCACAAGCCTTTAAAGTATACTCCTTTGTCAGTCTGTAAGAGATGCATTCAGCATCAGCACATGGTCACTGTCTAGTGAGCTTTGTTTTCAAGTGCGCAACTCATGGTAGGGATGGGCGTATCGATCCGAAGTATCGATATATCGATACTGACGCAAGTATCGAAAGTATCGATACTCAAACAAAAAATATCGATACTAAGGTGCGTTTTATTTACCAGTGGTTTTGTTTATTTAACAAAAATAATAATAATAATAATAATAATAATGCGTACAATATGCATTGAATTGGACGAATAACCTTTGTTAGCAAGTAATTGTG